AGCCTTACATGTTTCTATCAGTTTTATATCTCCATTGTTCTAGAGACACTAGCTTATAGACATCCAGAAAACGAACAATAATGACACTAACATCTAAAACACTATTTTAATTTCATGGGACCTTTAATAATAATAATAATTAAAATAATAATAATAATTAAATGTGACTTTTGATATTTTGTTTGTATCAGATATCCAAATATCCACAGCGGAATGAACCGCCAACTTTTCCAGCATTTGTTTTACACAGTGGATGACCTTCCAGCTGCAACCTTACACTGGGAAACACCCAGCACACTATTGCACACACTCATACACTACAGCTAGTTTAGCTCATTCAGTTCCCCTATAGCGCATGTGTTTGGACTGAGGGGGAAATCGGAGCACCCGGAGGAAACCCACGCCAACACCGGGAGCACATGCAGTTGGCAGTTCATTGAGCTGTGATTAATAAAGGCGAATAAAGCCGAAAAGAAAATGAATGAATAAATATTTAATAATTTCTTTATTTTTTTTAATCTTTAATAAATGATCTTATCCTTCAGCATGAAGAGTGAATATTAATGCTCAAACGATATACTGTTCAGCCCTAATATATATATATATATATATATACACACACACACACACACACACACACACATACATATATACATATACATACATATACATACATATATATGCATCTAAAATAGACAAAATCATTCGCTAAAAGACTAAAATAAAAGAATATCAATCAATAAAATACAAAAATTAAACACTGTACTGTAAAGACTGTGACTTTCTCATGATGCTGCTATTGATGCTTCTGTCTGCCTCTCTGTAATGCTGTATAATATTGCGCTCATATAAATAAAAGTACTACCATAAACAATGTATTTTCTGTGACACCCTGAAATAAACAATAGGGCGAGATATGAAACCATAGACATTTCATTTTGTCCAACTGCACAGCCCGACATGTAATCAAATAACTTGCTTTTTTTTATTTTATTTTTATATATATATATAAATTTTATTAGAATATGCAAAAAAATATACAAATACAAGAAAAAGTCAACAAATAACAAATACAAAGCAACGAAACAAAAAACAAAACAAAAACAACAACAATATAGTCAGGTACTGGTATGTGCGTGAGTGTGTGCGTGTGTGTGTGTGTATGCATGTAAAGGTAACTTGGTGGACAGATCAGAGTACATACATAAGGAACAATAACAGTCAATAAATGAAGCAAATGTCACAGATATAGATAAAACATATAGAAAGAAACCAGTCAGAGGTAGGGAGTAACAACAATGCTTATTAATGTATGATAGTAAAAATGAACAACAGTAATAACTGACAACAATAATAATAAATCACAAGTGCTACACCAACTACTACTACAGAAAGTTACTTATATAACAACTACTACTGCTTCTACTACAGCCACAACCACGACTACTACTACTACAATGTCTACTAATACTGATACTACTACAACGACTACCACTACTGATACTACTATAGCGTTTGCTACAACTAATACAACAACGTCTACTGCTACTACTACTGCTACTGCTACTGCTACTACCACCACCACAATCACTTCTACTACATCTACATCAACAACATCTACTACTGATATTACTACACCAACAACGACTACTACTACTACTGTAACTACCACACCATTACTACTTCTGCTACTACTTACATGAACTACTACTTCAATAATCTCCGTAACAATTACTCAATAACAATCGATACTATTACACTGTCTACTACTTCAACTACAACAACTACTACTACTACTACAACTACTACCGCTACAACTACAACAACTCAAATAACTTGCTGAAATGACATCAGCCATATGTAATGTTCTCTTCAATATAGGACTCAGCAATATACGGTTTGAGCATCGACATCTCAATGTGTGCATCTCATCACATGATTAAATTATCCATTAAAGATTGAAAAATAAAGATATTATGATATTTTATTATTATTTACACAATGATGAGCATCTTATTTTACACTTGTTCTGTGTAATCGCTGTACTTGAATACTGGTAGACTCCCCAGTAAACCATAAAGCACGGTTTATTCATGTATTATTGCATGTACTTTATACAGATGCACAGCATGGGGAAAGACTTGATCATCTCAGTCCATCTATATTAATGACATCTTTCTGTCTATCCATATCATCTGGTGTCATTATACATAACGCAGAAAAACAAAACAATGTCAGATTTTCCCGGTATCGTGCACGCATGTTGATGACCGTGAGTGCTAATCTGCAGTGAGTATTAAAAGCAGGAGTGTGAGATGATGATGATGATGCTGCTGCTGCAGTTAATGAGGGCGAGCGAGCGGCTCATTCTTCATCAGCTGACAGATCTCATTAACCACCGTCACCAGCGGGAAATAATACAGCTGCCAGTGATGGATCTGTCCTGCGCTACCCACAATTCAGCTCCAGAACACAGCAGAGCATATCGTGTCCATTAACACACACATTCTCAAACACAACATGCATTTCGTCAGAGGTAAATGAGTTCCAACTACGGCAACATATCGTGATCTCGCAATGTGATCCTTCGCAATAGTCACATCTCAGGACATGCCATGTTGACTTTCTATTATAAGTGATCATTTGCATGTGCTTTTGGATCGTAAATAGATTTTGAAAGCATTCAGGCATAAGAAATCGCACCATTTGTGACTTTAACAATGATTCATTGTATTTTTATCATTCAGTTTCTGTACTTAAATACTGTTCAAACTACATTAAACCACTTAATATCAATTGTGTTTTGATTGTGATTATAGATTGTTATGCATGAAAACCCTCACAACACATGCCAATACAGAAATGCACAGCAACCACAGCGAAAACATGTCAGGGATGGATGGCTTATTAGATTTTATGCAGATGCACTCCCACTGAAGGATCATCCCAATGCATCTTACATTATAAAAGCTTTCCTAATAGAGATATTAAGTCATCTGGTGAAATTATATTCATATTACAAATTAAAAAGAGCATTGCAATGTTAGATTTTGCCAATATCATGCCTAGTTTTAACAGCTGATTGTATACGCGTTTATTTACTGCTAGAACTGCAGTGGAATAAAATAAATAAACACAATATTTATTGACTACACATTGTGCATTTATTTGAACGGATTTAAAACCAGCTTAATCCTAGTTTATATTAATGAGAGAGCACATGTGAACGACTGAATCTGTGTCCAAGAGGAAACTGAAACTTCGAGAAAAGCCTTTAAAATGAGTCATTTGAGCGTGCTTTTATTCTAGTGTATGGTTCATTTACTGCATGTTGTTTTATTCCTTTGTAGGCCGTCTTTATAATCAATATATCGACAGACCGTGCAATGGATGTATTCTCAATACTTTTTTGCCATTGCAATATATATTTACAAATACACTAATAACATTAAAGCTGTTTCACAAGGACATTTACATTGTACCTCAGCAGTGTATGTGCCCTCATTTATTTATTCTTTCGTATGGTCTTTCCCTTGATTTCCCATTACTGTATTTCTTTAAAACGGTCACATTTCTCTTGTTGCAAAAACAGTAATATTTGTATTGCATGTACTATACTTCTGTTTGCATTTATACCTGTTGTAATTGCCTGTTGTTATTGCAATAAAAAAAACAATTAAAAACAATATTGTGATTATATATATATATATATATATATATATATATATATATATATATATATATATATATAGCGGAAGTCAGAATTATTAGCCCCCTTCAATTATTAGACTTGTTTATTTTTTCCCCAATTTGTGTTTTGCGGAGAGAAGATTTTCACAGCACATTTATAAACATAATAGTTTTATTAACTCATTTTTAATAATGAATTGATTTTCTCTGTCATGATGACAGTAAATAATATTTGACTAGATATTTTTCAAGACACTTCTATACAGCTTAAAGTCACATTTAAAGGTTTAACTAGGGTAATTAGGGTAACTAGGCAGGTTAGGGTAATTAGGCAAGTTATTGTATAATGATGGTTTGTTCTGAAGACTATCGAGAAAATATATAGCTCAAAGGGGCTAATAATTTGGTCCCAAAAATAGTGTTTAAAAAATTAAAAACTGCTTTTATTCTAGCCAAAATAAAACAAATCAGACTTTCTCCAGAAGAACAAATATTATCAAACATACTGTAAAAATATCCTTGCTCTGTTAAACATCATTTGGGAAATATTTAATAAAGAAGATATATATATATATATTTATTTATTTTTCATATTATTTACATATTTATTTAAGTGCAATGCTTATTTTTGTGATTGTTTTAGAACTTCATTAAGTTTCCTATGGGAAAAAATGACTAGGAATAACAAACGGCAGAAAGTTACTCTCTCTACAACCAAGAGTGTTCATGACTATCCATAAAAAGCAGAACAATATAATTAGAAAAGCTCAGTTGAGCTGATTTTAGCATCTAGAAGTCAATAATTATAATAATAATAAATTTTATTTATATTGCCCTTTTCTCAGACTCAAAGCGCTAACAAGAGCATCAAAACACAGCAGAAGATGAAATACACAAAAAGTAAGAATAATGACAATAATAATAAAAACAACACACATTAAAAGAAAGCCTCATACGGTATGAGCAATAATAAAAGAGAGGAGTTTTAGGAAGTCAAAGAAAGTGAATGACAGCAGAAGTCTCAAGATTATAGTATTAGTATAGTATTATAGTGTATATGAACTCTCATATTATAGTATTAAAGTCAAGTTTATTTGTATCGTGCTTTTCCCAATAATTAAAGTTTCAGAGCAGCTTTACAGAAGGTGCACATTACTGCACTACAACTAAATTAAGTTAAAGTTGAGATCAACTATGAGTTATCAAACACAAACCTGCAGTTTTCCAGCGTACAGGTGACGTCTATGTGTGCATGTTTAATGAAGTGTGTTGGTGTATTAGGTGATCAGTAATCGTCATCATCCACCCACCTCACTGTTGTGTCCCCTGAGGTTGAAGTTGATGCGCTGTGGAGTGTTTCGGTCCCTCCTGCAGTGGCTGGAGGTGAAGGTGACTCCCACCACCCCTCTGCCGTTCCCCGTGGCCAGCCAGCCCTCCTCGCAGTACCGTCGCCGACACACCGGCTTCTCCTTCTGGCTGCGCGGCACGCGGCCCTTCCAGGACAGGCACAGGATGTTGGAGTCGCTGCACAGGACGGGCCCGTGCTCCACCGCCGCAAACATGCCTCCGCACACCAGCCCACGCAAATCCACACAGTCACCCGGCTCACCGGCGGGTCCTTGGGGTCCAGGTGAGAGCGGCTGTCAGTTCGCAACCCCTCCGAAAGCGTCCGCAGATCTGCATATAACTGTGACTAGCAGGGCACATAAGTCATGCTGACAGGCGTGAGGAGCAGCTGCAGATTATCTGAGGGAGGAAATCACCTGCGAAGAGCAAACACGGCCAGAATATCCGGCTCACGGGAAACTTTCTCCTGCTTGGCGCTGGCGGGGTGATGACATCACTCCGAGGTCCCTGACGTCACTGACGGTGAAACGCGCCTCTCCGCGTGCTCATGGCAGGAGCGCGCGCGCGTGTCAGCTCCTCCAGCGCGGGAGCGCCGGCTCCGCCTGTGACGTCATCGCATCAGTGGAGCCTCCGGCCAATCAGCGTCGGGGATTCCTTTAGGAGGACAACGCAGGATATAAACACAATTAATGACGCTTAATTTGTTTACAGACTCCTCCGCTGATCTTAAACACACGTTCGGTTCCAACAAAGTTTTCACAATAAACGATGCTCCAGTTTGAGGTTTCTTCTCAGTGTTTTCAAACAAACATCCTTCACTAATCAATCTGTTAGCAGTCATGAGAGGAAGAATATAAATATAAGAGCTCAACACGGTGTAAAACAGCTCAATAAGGTCGATATAAAATATCGATAACCTGCGATCTGTCATTCGGTGCTCTGGTTTGCGCGTGCACGTCGTAAACGTAATATTTACTCTGCTTTATCAGATTTACCACAAACTCAACAATAATAACATTTATAACAGCAACACTTTGGGCATTTCATATATTAAATAATCAGAGATTTACGATCCCGATGAACTGGAGGAAACAAACTCCAGTCAGTTTTGATTATCCAGTGTTTTGCTCATCTAACAGCTACAGCTCGATATCAGATGTCCACATCTTTGATTAATCTGACTAATAAACGTAAACACACATCAACACGAGCATCTATTAGCACAGGAGAGTCCTCTGTGTGTGTGTTTCTGTGTGTGGCTTTTGTTAGCTCCGCTGCTACTCTCACTTCACGCGCTCTCTCTCCGGTTTTCCGCTTTAAAACCCGTTAACAGCGTGAGCTAGATACACGGAAATGGTGTCCCGGTGAGACTGGACCCCAATCGGGCCGGTCCCGGTGTTTACCTGTGTCGGAGGGTGTCAGATGAGAGTGTTTTTAGCGCTGCTGGCTCTGCTTCTGATGCTGCTGGGCCCCTGCGCTGGTCACGTGATCACCATATGATCACACTGCTGCCCGCATCTCGTTTACACAACACTATAGAAGAATAAAGAAGTACAGTGGAGATAATAACATGCCAAAATAACACAACATAAGACATGCATATGAAAAGATAAATAAATAAGCATGCCAAACTAACAAATCATCAAATATCTACAGGTAAAAATAAATAAATAAAATGAAGAAGAAGAAAAACATGAGTCGAGTCAAGGTAAATAAATTCAAATATTATACGTTGATTTATTAAATATAATATTTTAGAATAAGTTAAAATAATAAATCAGTATAGTTGTAACATTTTTAGCTAGGTTTTACCTCAGCATTTTATTTGTTATTAATAAATGTACATTTTTTAATAAAACCCCAATAATAGAACTATTTTTTAAATTTACTAAATTTTCCACATTTTTGTCTTTAATGTTTGTCAAAAATTTAAAAATCAAAATTTGCTATCAGTGAATACCTTTTACAGTCTATGGTGTACACATAACCTTTGTTTCTCTGACATGTTTGCTTATTAGCTATATTTCCTTAATATTAAATATCCGCTATGTTGTTTAAAGTTGTTGTGATCATACACTTGTTACCTGTTTTGACAAAATAAATGATTAAATAAATATGTGCTTACTTTTTACGTCTCATTCCCTGCCAATAGGTGCGCTGCTTCTTTTATGTTTTGACGACACTTCCGGCTCAGTGGAGACAGAAAACATGGCGGCCTCCATGGCGAATTTTAGAACCCTTCGCGTCCTGTCAAAGATCTTTCACGGACACTTCACAGCGGTAAAGCGCCTGCTTTAACACCCTTCCTTCATCTCCACATCTCTGTTTCTATATGAATGTAGAAGTGTATCTTGCAGAACATGTTTAAACCTTATTCCTGTCATGTATTTGTAGGCTTCAGCAGTCCAGCATCACACAGCGTGTCCACGGTCAGTCTCACAACACGAACATCTTAATTCTTTACATTTATTTTACAGTTTTAAGATGAAATCGGAGGATAGATTAAAGATTATAGATTATTTGTAACCTGAATGGGTGAAACCTTTGGTGTCATTGGCTTCTAGTCATTTTACACGTACAAAAACAGTCAGATCTGCTGCAGAGCTAACATTAACTGCTTACGATGATGTTATTAGACATTATTATTAATATCTGTCTATCTATCTGTCTGTCTATCTGTCTATCTATCTATCTATCTATCTATCTAGTCTGTCTGTCTGTCTATCTATCTATCTATCTATCTATCTAGTCTGTCTGTCTGTCTGTCTGTCTGTCTGTCTATCTATCTAGTCTGTCTGTCTATAGGAAAATACCATAATTCATAGCTCCGAATAGTGATAGATAAAAAAAAATGTATATGCAAAATGCTTATGGGGGGGTTAAAAAACAGGCAGGGGTGATATAAAAGTTAATAATGAATTGAATTTAGGTAAGCTATGCTAATAACACATCATTAAAAAAAACATAACCTTATATTCTGTGCTCAACATGCAAGATTATAAGTGTATGGCATCAGTCAAAACAATGTTGTCTTAACAATAAATAAACAGAAAAGACCTTGGATTCATGAATTAAAAAAAAACTTGACCGGAAATGTAAATAAACAGATACTGAAGTGTTAAAACTGCATGTGATGTGGTGTTTGTGTGTGTGTTTGTGTGTGTAGGCTGGTCCACATCGCGTCCGTCTTCTCACCACCGTCTCCAGCTGTGAGTATCTGCACTGAACTCAAGCGTAGATCATGTAGTTCTGCAAAGCGTGACTGTGATGATTAAACTCTGCAGATCACGGAGAGCGAGGAGCCGGACACGCTCTACCAGCGGCTCTCAGTGCAGGTCAAAGGTCACGATAGAGCCGTGCTCGACAGTTACGAGTTCTTCGCCACGCTGGCCGCCAAAGAGCTCGGCCTCAGCCTGGAGAAAGTGTGAGTCAATTCAACCACAACAATACTAATAATCTGGGGGCTCAGTGGTCAGCACTGTGGCCTCACAGTATGAAGGTCACTGGTTCGAATCCCTGCTGGGTCATTTGACGTTTCTGTGTGGAGTTTGCATGTTCTCCCCGTGTTGGCGTGGGTTTCCTCCGTTTTCCCCTACAGTCCAAACACATGCGCTATAGGGGAACTGATCTACTAATTAGATTAACAGATCTGCCGATTGATCTGTGATGGTTTAGGCGAGGTATGAGGAGCGGTTATTGAAGCTGTGCTGTTCTGCTGTCCAGATTTGAGCCGCCGAAACACATCGATAAGCTGACGCTGCTGAAGTCTAGGCACATCTTCAAGAAGCACCGCGTGCAGTACGAGATGAGGACGCATTACAGGTGCATCCAGGTGCGCAGACACACACACACCTTAATAACAACTCTATATACTGTAGTGAACAAGATTATCACTAACACAACACACAAAATATATACAATCAGTTTATTGATGGAGATATATCCAGCTGCAGGCCCGCAGAACCACACACGTTTGAGGCACACACAATCTAGGACACACGATCTAGGCAAACCATAAATGGTAACTAACTCTTTAGCATTATCGCCACCTATTGAATTTCGAAAATATGGTTTCCCATTTCAGTCAATTTTATTATTATATCGTAACGATCATTTTAAAGTCTCTGCAGTTTCTGAACTTAAATTATGTCAATAAAAATAATTGGTTAAAGACACTTATGACTTTATTCATGAAAACATAATAGACCGTCTAATTGTTGGATTAAGTGTAATAAACTAATTCAAGCTCTTAATATTATCATACTTCGTTAAAATCACGTTGTTGTAAAATATAAAAAAGCAAACAATAATGTCACTTTAAAATAAATTAGCCTACTATAGTTAACCATTTAAACAATAGTTATAAACTGATTATCTTAACTGATTATAATTATAAGTTTATATATAAACTACTATCTTTTATATATATATATATATATATATATATGTGTGTGTGTGTGTGTGTGTGTGTGTGTGTATACACTTATGATTTTTTTTATTAATAGTTAATATTTTATTAATAGTTTTATTAAGAGTATTAAATGTGGGAAATCATTAATTAAAAGGTTATTAGAAAATTAAGCTAATAAACACCGCTTGAGTAAATATTAATATAGTGTTATACATTTGTTACATGTAAAAAGATTTTTATTACATATAATGTATTATTGCCTATATTAACTTGCTATTATTTCCTTCATCATAAATTAATCCATTATATAAATTAAACCTGTCCAAATCAGATCATTCAGCAAGGCCAGCAAACGTGTATCTGCCAAATTATTGTCTGGTAATAAAGACTGATCAGCTATAATGACTGATTAAAAACTGTTCACTCTATTATATTGAATGGCGATCGGAAACACTGCTCCTCATTCGGCCGTCTCAATCGCAATATTTGTGAAATAAAGTAAAGTAAACACTATTGTTTATTGTGTACAATATTTATTAATCAAATATATCGATGATGATGTCCAAAAAGACGTTATAACTTTAACATCCGTCATAACCATATATGGTTTGCCTAGATTGTGTGTGCCTAAAACGTGTGTGGTTCTGCGGGTCTGCAGCTGGATATTATTGGATTGATGTGTATTAAGATAGATAACGCAGGTTAATACAGGGAAGCCTTTATCAGCAAAAAAGCCATTTCTGATTTATTTTTGCCAAATTCATTTTGTTAAAGAGCCATTGGGGATGTACGAGCATCACATGTCCAGCTAGTCTATGTACTAAAGGATAATTAATAGAATTCTTTTCTTTTCGCCTTCAACACTCATGAATGTTGTATGTTACGTGCGCAAGGTTACAATAGAAGATGCACAACATTTATTGGTGTCCGATTCAAGTTAATCCACCGCACTGCACATGCGCATTAAAAGTCATTTATTTTTATTTTACATTTTGCTGTAAAAATACACAATAGAAAGGTAAATTTAATTGTATTTTCAATATTCTTAGTGACAGTTTAATTTTTTTATTGAAGGGAGACCGCTGTAGAGGTACATATTTTTGGTCAAAGAGCAACATGTGGCTCCCGAGCCATTGATTCCCTATCCCTGGGTTAATATTAGAGATGTGCACGTCCATGCTCGAGTATTGATACTTGGAAGCTTTGGTAGTTTGGTATCGATATTTTTTTTTTTTAAGTACCAATATTTCAACTATATTTTCATAATTTCTGCATAACTGAATGTTCTAGCGCTGTGACGCTTTGTATGCAAGACGTTACACCAATAAATCTGCGGCGGAATGTCACGCGAGCGATCATGTGCCTTTCAGACAACTTGCATACTCAACACACGCAAGTCACACACTTCTGCATTATGCAGCGACATGATGGCAAAGAGGTAACACAGCGTGTTGTCATGCTCACTACCAAAGCAATGCACTCATGAATGTTGTGCATTCAGCTAATGAGCATGACAACACGCTGCGTTACCTCTTTGCCATCATGTCATTCCATAATGCATATATAAACATGGTAACTAGCAAATAATAGTATAGTATTATAATATATAGTATAATAATAAATCCGCTCTCTCTTTCTAATTAACATTAGGTGAATAAATATAAGCGTGTGTGTGTGTGTCTGTACAGTGTGTATATAACTATGTATGTGTATGCAGTGTGTAAATGCAATATGGTTGTGTGTGCGCGTGTATGTATATTTACATGTTTTTTTTATTAACGTTATTTAGAAAACAATACATTAGCAGTTTAAATAAGTGATATCGGTATTGTAAATTTTTTTAAAAAGTATCGGTATCGTATCGAATTTTAAAATTGCAGTATTGGTATCGCCCATCCCTAGTTAATATATACAGGTGTCCAAATGTTTCGCCTTCCTGTGATTAATATTATTTTTAAGATATTTTCAATTGATGTTGAACAGATTCAGGAAGTTTTCACAGTGTTTCATTTGTCTATTTCAGCTGGAATAAAAGCAGTTCTTAATTTTGTAACTAATATAATTTTAATATTATTATAGCCCCTGTTGTGCCGAGAAACGCAGCCCTGCTGTAAAATTCACCCCTTCATAGATTTTTAACCCCATTCTCAGTCTACATTTAAAAATAAAAGGCCATAATGAATTAAAATGTAAAATGATGATTATTTTGATGGATGAAGCAAAGGACAAGAAGTGAAGCGCATTTTAAAACACACCAGGTTTACAAATAAATGTACTGACTGTAGCCTAAAATGAGGCTTTTCGGTGGGTTTTAAAGAGACATTGAGGCTGCATGGAGCACGTAACACTGTTGTTGCTGTAAACTAAACCACATTAAACTATTCACTTAATCACATCAGTGTTGTATTTATAATCAATCTTTATTTGTTTATCTTCTGTAAGGGAGGGAATCTATGAAACTCACTTCAGTCACTCTCATTATTGTCATAACTCAATTATTATTATTATTATTATTTTTAATCAATCTCAGCTAATAGATGCACATTTCAGAGGGGATGCATTCCTCAGCACAACACCCCCTTCAGCAATATTAGTGTTGGATTGTCTCCAGAACAAACCACTGTTATACAATGACTTGCCTAATTACCCTAACTTTACCCTAATTACCCTAGTGAAGCCTTTACATGTCACTGTAAGCTGAACACTAGTGTCTTGAAGAATATCTAGACTAATATTATTTACTGTCATCATGACAGAGGAAAGACATCAGTTATTAGTGATGAGTTATGAACACTGTCATGTTTAGAAATGTGTTCATCAAACGTCTCTCTGTCAAACAGAAATTGGGGAATAAAATGTGTAGGGGGGGGGGGGGGGGGGGGGCAAATAATTCAGACTTCAACTGTATATATTGTGTTATATTATATAAGCCGCTGATTAATAAACGGTTTATTTGGTAATAAATTATACTTCCAAATCTTACGAAATGCACACCGAAATCTCCTCTCTTTCAGATCTCCAGGATAACCGGCTCGAGCGCACGCGTTTATCTGGAGTATATTCAGCGCAATCTGCCTGAAGGAGTTGCTATGGAGGTCACAAAGGTGAGGACATCACAAATAAACCTGCGGCTGCTGCACGGATACAGTTGCCAAGTGAACAGACATTAGAACGCAGACAGGAGTAGATGGAGCTTATAAAGTGTGTTTGCTGTACTCTAACGCTTACTCTGTGTGTGTGTGATTCTGCGCAGACTGCCATGGAGAAAATCCCAGAACACATCCAGAAACCCCTGTGGGACGACAACAAACCAGAGGCGTCCGGATAATGAGGATTTAGCCCAATATGAACTCAGACGCCTGTGAATATTGTGCATCAAGGAGAAACAATATGTCCTCATGTCCACTTAAAAGCAGATTTCAATATAACCTATGACTGTGTTAAGTGTGTGTGCATTTACACCAATAAACATGTGCATTTCTATACGACGGTGTATTGCTTTCTTTATGAAATATCAGTATTTATATAGCTGTACAGCAGGAGATTAACAGGATTAATGCCGCACAGCTCTTCAACACACAGTTTCAGTAGCTTCAACATTTATTTCAGCCCAGTTCATTTTACATTACTAATGCCTACATCCTATTAGAACCAGTTACTGTAATTTAATTAATGTAGAAACTGAATTATCATATAAACTGGCTTCATTTGTTGTTGTTGTTTTTATTTAATAGTCTCAAAAGCTTAAAGATCAACTTGTGCATCATATACTATAAAAACTGTCTGCTAAATATGTAGGAATAGTCAAAATATACTGTATTAATTATACAATCATTATTACCAAAAATCATAAAGATATTAAGTATATTAGGTTGTGCAATTTAATCAATTATATTTCATAAGAGTTCTACAGTAAACAAAGCTCAAGTTCTGATTATTATTATTTTGATTATGATTAATTTGGACAAATTAATAATAAAATTCCCCAATATTTAGATATTATAAATATTTTGATTTGAACCCTGAAGACTTTCAAACATCTCAGCTCACTGTTGTCCTATCATAAACATGGAAATCTTATTTATGACTTTATAATGCTTTACACACAAAGGCTTTGAGCGCTACCGACAATTTTATTTTTAAACTAAGACATAAACATGCATTTATAATTGAAACGTGGCTTAACACCTTAGTTTTCATTTGTTAATATTAGTCCGCTTCATTAACTAACAATACATCTAAACCAATTCTGGCCAAAGATTAATAACAAGATTGTTTTGACAATATCTGTATCATATATATTTATTATGTATATGTGATGCACAGATATGCATAGAAACTTGATGCATAAGTATTTATATATAACTTGCATCATATACACATATTTAATATCTAAATATAAACATTTTCTTAAATATATGCATGCATGTGTGTTTTTATATATACACGCTTATGTCAAAACAACCTTTGGTAACACTTTAAAATAATGTATTTACTCACATTAAGTATGAATAATCTAGTGAAGTATTTATTAATCATAGTTTAATATTAACTAATGCATTATTAACCTCCAAAGTTGTGTTTGTTAACATTAGTTAATGCACTGGGAGTTAACATGAACAAACACAAATAACATTAACGCTAACAAAGATCATTAAATACCGTAATAAATGTACTGTATTACTGATTGTGTTCATGTTAGTGAATACATTAAATTATGGACGATTATTGTAAAGTATTACCCAAACTTTTATTTTGGATGCGATTAATCTTTATCTGACACTACTTTAAACATTTCATAATTGTAAATCTGATCAATATCTGAATTTAAAGGTGATTTTAATATTTAAAAGTTTGAATATTTACATTTTTCCCCTCAGATTATAGATTTGTGCCAAATATTGTCTTATGATAAGCCACACAGCAATGGAGAGCGTATTTATTCAGCTTTTATATGATCTATACATCTCAATTTCACAAGGACTGACTTGTAAGGCTGGCTTTATGATCATAAATGGAGAATTAAAAACACTGAGACAGATTTGCAGAAACATCCATCCCTTTAATAACACACAGACTGTTAATCTACATCTGTATTACACGGAGACTGAACATGTGTGTGTGTGGGTTACTTACCTGCTACTTCTGTTTGCTTTGGAGTCTTAAGGTGTGTTTCTGTGCAGTCCTGCAACACAGATCAAATGAGTCATTCATATGAAAAATGCAGACGCAAAAAATAATGACATGCCAAACTAACACAACATCACAAGTGATTCAAATAAACCAGAGTTCACTCTATGGAGCCAGATCGGTCTCAAAAATAAAACATTTACAAAATACAATTCATAAATACAACACAAAATGTCATGCACATGCAAAATCATAAGCATTTTCAACACATTTTGTGCACTGAGTTGTGGATGCATGCATTTTATGTTGTAAATGTATTATTTTTGAGACCGATCTGGCTCCATATAACTGAGACTAACACTACCAAAATGTACACGAGCAAATGAGTAAACAATCCAAAAATAACTAAAATAAAATTAAGATCTCCAGTTAATACAAAGGACAAAATAAAAACAGAAAGAGTATTGCTAAAACAAACACAAACATGCAATAAAAGGTAAACAATTATTGTTAAATAACTGATGAGGGAGATAAATGCAATTCTGTTCTACATGCTCTTATCTGGAAGCTTATTTGCATATCTACTGTAGGCCTGTCACAATAATCAACACATGGACATGAGCTCAATCATTTCTGGTGGTGCAATATATATCGTCTATACATGAACACCGATTTCAGCTGATTGTGCAACATCTCTCTGTCTACTGGAGCTGTCAGTGTGGTTAAAAACACTAGTGTGTGTGTCTGACAGCTGAAAATAGATCTGGCAGCAGATATCGCAGCCTCTGTTACTCTTTACCTTGTTAACATGTATTATAATTTAATTAGGATATGCATTTTCACATTCTGATTCCAACATCGGACTATTAAAATGTAAAAATGACTATAATCATCTGAAATATTCTTAAGAATAAAAGATGGCGTGCTCTTTGGAAGTGTTCTTGCACTGTGATTATATTATATTGTCATTCTGGCATTATAAGTGGCATAAATGCTCTTAAAATGACAATAATATCATTTATCACAATGTATTTCAGTGCAATATATCCTACAACACAAGATAGATATGGTGACAGGCCTATACAGGGGTTAAATCAGAGTAAATAAACGACTGTGGATATTTATTTTGTCGCTATATATCATTTAAAGGGGATTTTTCCCCATGTTTAGATTTGTTTTTGAGCCCCTCAGATGATAGATTTTCAAATATATCTGCCAAATATTGTCCCACAGCGTATTTATTCAGCTTTTATAAGATCTATAAATGTCAATTAGTAACAAAAAAGGACTTATGGGTGATTTTGGGATCATAAAAATGGAGAATCAAACACTCAAATGACCAAAACACATGGGAACTACTGATGGACAACCTTCATGAGAGCTGTCAGAGAGCATGGCGATGATGATCCTCAGTACCTGTTGTGTAATTGACATTAGTTGATCCTCCAGCGTGAGTCTGTCGGGTCGGTGTTGATAGTTTAATGTCAGCTGTAGATCACTGTAAAAATGATGCACATTAATAGTTGCTCATATCACTGCAAAACCCCCTGGAGAAACTCGTACACATCTGTAAATGAGCTTCATTATCTGCTTTGGATTTGCATTATGGGATCTTGATCGTTCTTTTAAGTTGTATAAAGTGTGTTTTCTGCACATGTGTAATAGTCTGCAGTGCTGTATTGTGTTGCATATTGCGCTACAGAAACCTTGTAATGAACTGCAGCACATTTCCTGTTATTTTACACACTCATTTCTGTAGATACTATTATTTTATACTACTAAAATGTCAATAAAAGTCACTATGTTAAACTGTAGTTGGATTTACAACATCAAAATGTGGACAAAGCAGAGATCAACGTCCCATAATGCAATTCACCACTGCAAATGAACACACAAAATATTGAAACTGTTCATTAGCAAATATATTTACAGTGTGTTTGAGCTTTACTATAATGCAGTATGTGAGAGATCAAAAACATTATGCATCAGAGTTTGCATGAATGCAGCAACTATATTTCACACACACAAAAGTGATCTTAAAGTAAGTTAACTTAATCCAATTCTATATTGCATTAGATATATCTGAATGCATTAATATCTCCTGAATTAAATTTATGATGTGATGAAGAATTGCAAGATTATATTAAATATATTTATTGTTATACCTCATATCATATCTAGAATATCAATACTTATATATATAATTATACTTGGTGTGATTATATCTTTTAATGCACTTTAGGAACACTTATAACCACAAACTACACCTGAAACCATTAATTTGGACTTTGTTTACATTTGTTTATACCAATATACATTATATTCATGGAATGCATTACAAGGGACTTCATAAATGCATTTATAAGAATGCATTATACATGATGCTGGCAACATTTTAATCTTTGTTAGATATAAATATATGCGTTTATAATTGATAAACATGCTTATTAGCTTCATTGAACACATCTAAACCTTTCATACATTTTAATATTTTTAGAAATACTAAACATTAGCTAAATTGGACTTAACAGATCTGAAATCACTTTATAAAATATAAAAAATATAAATAAATAATTCTAATTTCCTTATTGTTCTTTATTATATATTTGTCAGCTCATGAATATAATATTCAAATCAAAAATTGCATCATCTTATTGGATCTGTGCTAATTGATTAACTTAATTTTATTAATAAGTCACCTAAATTTGACTGTCGAATATGAAAACAGATGCATGATATGCAGACATTATAAATGACTTCATAATGCACTATACATTAATACTTTAATATCCACCAACACTTTTATGTTTACATTAAGACACACATCTGCATTTATAATTGATATAACACTTACTTTTCCATGTTATAATTAATCAGCTCCATTGACTAACAATACACCTAAACATTTCATAATATTCATATTTCTACTGAAGCATTGATAAAATTCTGTAATTATCGTCAGTAATTAAAATCTGTTAACATGTTTAATTTTGATTACATTTGATGTATGAATACTTCTTAAACACTACTGATTAATCTTAATATACTTTACTACACATTACTAATATGCTTAAAATTAAGATTGAACCATTTCTCATCATTTATTGGCCCTGAGCTTAATTAACCATCCAAAATAAAAGTTTGTACTATAAATGTGTACTTGTGTATATTTATGAATAAAAAAGTAATACAATGACAAAGTATTTATATACATATTTATATATAACATTATGTATTACACATATTTATAATTTGGGTTCCTAAAATAAACGTGTGTGTGTGTATGTATGTATGTATGTATGTATATATATATATATATATATATATATATATATTCACAAACACCATAAATATGCACAATATATTATAGTATTGTGTGTGTATGTATGTATGTTTGTATATAAACACATGCGTGTGTAGATAAACACACACGTATACATAAACACACACACACACACACACATATATATATATATATATACACAAACTTATTTTGGTTGCAATTAATCTTTTGACGAGGCTAATTTAAATATGAAACTACAATTCTGATCTTCTGAAGTCTTTGAAGTGTGATTGACAGGTCAGCTGTGATGAGGTGGAGGGGCTGAACAGATGAGCTCACCTTAACTGTGAGGGGCGGAGCTTCACACTGGGTGGGCAGGGCTGAGAAGGGGGAGGGACAGACGGGACCGTCCTGCCTCCTCGAGTCCAGCTGCCTTCCAAAAGGGTGTGAAACCCCTTCAGGAGACAAGAAGAGTCAGTCCAGAGCGCCGTCAGAGGAACACACCTACAGCCTCACTCACAACACCTTGCAGAGCGGGGAAACAACCGACCAATCGCTCGCAACGTGCAAAATTCTACACTCCACAGCGCCGCTCACGAGTATTACTCTTCAGTTAGTGTGTAGCAGCCGGGCGGTCTGTCAAACTAATGAGCAGAGGTCATGATGTGCCTTTATTTCAATGCAAATCATTTATGATTAATTCATTGATCAGATCATTTATCTGTTATTTTGAAAGATTTAATTGTAACCTAATGTTGCAGCATTTGACTAACCTCAAGGAATAAGTCAAAAGTTTGGACGCACTGACTGAATTGATGTTCATTTCATATCTAAAAAGCATCAGCTTTAATTCTTGCATTTACTTCAGTTTTATAAGAGCGACATATACATATTAACATATAAACTGTGCATTTACATGATTAAATTATGAATGCAGAAACTTCCCTGTGATCTCACAGAAAACATTTAAGATTTATCTTAGACTACATTCATCCACCAGGCCAAAATATAACATTAATACAAAAAGAGCATGGAGAAATAAATATTGTACATGTAAAACTATAAGCTGTAATTAGGTTTTAGATTAAAATTTACACTGTACATGTGAAATCTTAAAATCTGAGAGCTAGTTTTGTAAGCACGTCAGAACATCAATTGTGCATGCAGATATGTATATTGTGCACAGAAAACAAAATGCATATGTCAAAATATACATTATCCCATGTTTTAAATAATTACACATCTAACTACTGCATGCTAAATACAAATATCTACAAATATAATATTTGCATACTGAAATTAAAATACACATTTAAAAATACACAGCTGTGCATGTAAAAGTAAATTAGGAATGACAAAATGTGATGCATCAGCTTTAATTCTCACAATTACTTTTAAAGATCAAGTCAAAATACAGTTTTGCATTTAGAAAATATATAAATAGTGCATGTACAAATATTATTTTTGCATGTAAACAATAAGAAATATGCATGTACAACGGCCTTATTTTTGTAGACCATGGCAAATATTAAACGTGCATGAAGAAATAGAAGTTTTACAAAAATGTAGTCTTCATAATACACTACTGCATGCTAAAAGCATGTTGAAATACCCATGTAAACACACACAACTGTGCATGTAAAAGTATATTATGCAGGCCAAAACGTTAAACTCTCAGAATTACTTTAAAGATAGTCAAAATAAAGTTTTGCTTTTAGAAGTTATATAAATAGTGCATGTACAAAATATATTTTTGCATGTAAACAATAAGACATATGCATCTAAAAAGGCCTCATTTTATTGACCATCTCAAATATTAATTGTGCATGTAGTAATATATCAATTCTGCATGGAAGAAATTTAACAAAAATGTAATTCTCCATAATATACATTACTTTAGACATATCAAAGGACTTCATAATGTATTTTCCTCCTTTAACAGCATCCCAAGATGCACCTGGTGAAGTTGCATGATGAATCTCCAGAGTGAGCGGAGCTGGAACTCGATCATTTTCATCATTTATTGATTTTTAAATCACTCTTTTAATGCAATAAAGAAATGAGCGTCTCCAAACTTTTGACTCCTCTTATATCTTCCAGAGCTGTGCAAAAAAAACATTACAGCATGTTCTGCTTTTATATTCAGACATCTGAACTTTAACTCAGCTTAATTGACTAGAATCAGCAAGACGTTCTGCTGTTCTGAGACTTGCAGGTCTGAAAGTGGCTCATATTTCATAATAAAAGTCCTTTTATTGCATGCACACATTTACTTCAGCCCTCTATGCAACTTTAAAAGCCTCACTCCACTGGAATTCATTTATTCAGTGTGTTTAAACACTTTATTATGCAATGATAGTCACACAAATCATCTTACTGTGTATAAAATGCTTTACATTGCTGTCCATTTGACTTCAGAAATGAGCAATTCTTTCTAAAAAGCATTACATAAATGGACATGGAGAGAGAGAGTTTAGTTTAAATGAACAAAAAGAGAGGTCATTTTATCTTAACTTTATTGTCTTGTTGGTCAAAACTAAGTCAAAAGCTGTTAACGGTTCAGTTTACATTCACAAACTCACATGACTTTATCGGTTACAATACGTGAATGTGCCATAACACTCCAAAACTCAACACAGAGGATAGGGAAGCTTATTTTTTTTTCCTTTTTAACTATTTTGAATCAAATACTGGCTTTAAAATATAGAAGAAGCAAGGAAAGGTTTATTTAAAGAAGAAATAGAGCTACTCTACTGTTAAATGAATCCATGTATCTGTGACTTTAACATTCAACCCAAACAAAGAGAACAAAATAAAACATTTCCACAGCAAAATCTCCACTGGACTTAAAGTAGCTGCACATTTATGATATTAACTGATTAATAATGGATGAGTTATTACTATACATGAACATCATATGGAGAGAGGGTGCTGGGAGATCTGCTTGGTAAAAGAAGCCAGTCGTCTAAAAATCTCTCCAATAAAGGAACAAGAGTGTGTAAGGCTCATAGGAGTAGCACCACGCAGACTACACAACACTTAGAGGAGTAAAAACACACTTGATTAAATCAGCGTAAGAACACGTCTCCTCGTCTTCAGCGGGAGAGAGTGCTTTTAAATGTTTTTCGGGGCTTTTTCTTTCCTCAAATGAAGTATAAGAAGAAAGCTAGCGTGTTTGGTTACAGTAAAAGGACCTGCGAGTCTGTTCGGACAGAAATGGATCTGAGCGCTGGATATTAACCCTACGGATTGGGACTAGGCGTGTTAAAACCTCCGGCCACCAGGGGGCCCTGGCCAGCGCTGGCCCCGGCCTGGAGGCGGGTGGGGCAGAGGAGGGGCCGATCCGTTGTGGTAGCTGCATGAAAGGATAAAATCAAACATTTGGATTGGCCTGTTGTGCTCAAGAGGGCCCGAAAGCGTGTCGTCAGTGTGCAAATGCCTTATTCAAAGAGTCACAATTGAAGAAAATCAAGCTGTCATGCACTAACTTCAATGCACAGTTCAAACTCTAAGGAACATTTACACATTATTTACTCACAAATACGAGATTGTAAACTTTTAGGAGTTTCTTTCTTGTTGAACACTTAGAAAAAAAAGATATTCAGAAAAGAAACAGCCATTGACATCCGTTTTAAAGATGCTGATGTTTAAAAAGTGCATATGCATACATTGTGCACAGAAAAACAATGCATATGTAAAAATATTTATTATATTATTATTTTATTTATAATTATATTTACATTACAACTAACTACAGCATGCTAAAAGCATGTTGAAATTAAAATAGCCACATAAAAATACACAACTGTGCATGTAAAAGCAAATTAGGAATGGCAAAACGTAATGCATCAGCTGAAATTCTGAGAATTACTTTTAAAGGTCAAGTCAAAATACAGTTTTGCATTTAGAAATTAAAAATTATATATATATATATTAGTGCATAGAGAAATATAATTTTTTGCATGTAAACAGGAAAAAATATGCATGTAAAATGTCTTATTTTTGTACACCATGACAAATATTAATTGTGCATGTAGTAATATATCAATTCTGCATGGAAGTAGTGTTACAAAAATTTAACTCTCCAAAATATACATTACTTTAGACATATCAAAAGACTTCATAATGTATTTTCCTCCTTTAACAGCATCCCAAGATGCACCTGGTGAAGTTGCAGGATGAATCTCCAGAGTGAGCAGAGCTGGAACTCGATCATTTTCATCATTTATTGATTTATTTCATTTTAAATGCGCTTTATACAAATTTAATAGTATTATGCAAAATTCTACTTTGTGTAATAGTCATTTAAATAGGTGGGTTTTCCAGAAAAATCTACAAAAAGGAGTTATAATACACTGCTCACACTTTAATCTATTTACTAACATAATACTTGTACAGCATTTAATAATCATAGTTCAACATGTGCTAACGCATTATTAATGTCCAAATGCATTAGTTTTTGCACATGGACAACTGTATTTGCATTAACATGAATAAATGCTGTAATAAATTAATTGCTTATTGTTTGTTCATGTCACTAAATGTATTGCTTCGCACAGGGCTAGACAATCATGAATGAAAATTCAGACTTCTGCAAGGCTAACTGCTAACTTCAGAAAGATTTGTACTTGCCTCAGCAAAGCAAAATCCAAAGAGTCATTTCTTAGCAGCATAATAAAAGCAAGCAAACTCTAGTTGCACACACACTTTTCACTACATTTATATACTATTATATTTATTTAAACTTCTTTTGGCTGAGCTGATAACTTCTGTAAACTTACAGTGCCAAGTTTGAGATTTTTATTCCTAATAAGTGTTAGCCGTTCACAATAAATTAAAAATCAGACTTGAAATGAGTCGAAAAAAATTAGACTAATAAAAATTTAGATTTTTCATATATTCATATAATAAAAACTATTACAATTAATATAATAAAAAAAAAAAATATATATATATATAACAACAATTGCTTTTTCCTTGCTAACAATAATTAAACTTCATACCACCCGGCCATATATAGCAGGATGATGATGAGGAATATTTTAATGCATTGTCCGCAACAACAATGCTATTTCCATGGCATAAACAATTGATAAATAAATTTACAATTTAAAATTAAATACATTAATTAAATTAATTTTTAGGATTGATACATGATAATTCTACCAATTTTTCCTGCCTATATAGCAGGTATATAAAAACAAAACGGCAGAGGTTAATGGCTGCATTTCTTCTGAATATCCTTGTTCAACAGAAAAAATTAAGACAGACAGGACTGAAACATGATGAGAGTTGTCATTGTTAGGTGCACTGCCCTTTAACTCGTGTGTTTATGTGGGTGTATATTAGCTGTGTGCTGCGCAGTCACGCCGGAGAGACTCAGTGTGTGTGTTAGCGTGTCTGATCTTACCCTCGGGGGTGGAAAAAGCGTGGCGGTCCAGGTGGCATCATGCCCCTTCCTCTGGGGTGCGGTGGCCGCCCTCTAAACGCCGGGTGTCCTGGAGGAGGTGGCGGTGGAGGTGGACCGTGCCTGAAATAATACACACACAATTCAGAAATCAACAGATCAGACATGAGCTCGATCCCAATTCTACTACTTAGCCGTTCCCCATACCCATACGCCTGGTTCTGCACGTTCGTGCAAAGGGGTCAGGTCTCCTAATTCTCTATAGCTTGAAGGCACAGGGGTTATTTGCATATGTAAATGTGTGTAAAAGTTAATTTATTCAGTCTTTATATTATTTTTTATTGCATATGCAGAGGCACTCTCACTGCATTTTTACCATCAGAGTCCGTTATTGATGATGCCACAGTGTTCAGTTTATCAGGAGAGAAGCGCGAGCGCTCAGTACACGTTGCTTTGCTTATAGTTTTGTATTATGTTTAGTGGTTTGGGATGCCGGGACAGTCAAATCTTTAGCTCAACAGATCCATTGCTTTTGACTCTTATAGAGTTTAATCGCGCTGCACGCATTAGGAGGTTTGCTGAAGAGCTTGATTTGCATGTTGTTTACATGTTTGATAAACGATGACAGCTCGCCGTCATTAAAAAGCAAGCATGATTAATAAACCCATCTCAAACAGTTCCTTAGCAGTGACTTCATGTCTTCAGCTTCACACTACAAATGTGCTACCCAAATAAACCTTGCATTGCATACCTGTGCATGTGTGGTGGTGGAGGTCCTCTCATGTGCATGGGTGGAGGAGGAGGCGGCGGTGGTGGAGGTCTCAAACTCATCCCCATTGGGCCCCCTCGAGCCCGCCGGCCACGCATGTCTGGGTACGGCCACGTCCTGCTCAACACAAACACGTAAATCAGCTATTCACTAAAGAGTTACTCAATTATTTGCAATAAGGACGACTGCTGGATTAGAAATAGGGCTGTGCAACATGACAATACATGTCAGATGGACAAAATAACAGTCTATCATGTCATATTCAGGGTATATATACAGGAATCAGAGTTAAATATGATATTTCTTAAGATTCTTTAATACATTTAAGGACCTTATCGCCACTTTAGGTTTCAACAGGTCACAGTGGTGACATTTTATATTTAAACAAAGCACAACTAAACAGTCTTAGCTTGTAGGAACTCCTTATGAATGCAATATAATTCAGAAGAGTGTTAAAAGATTATTTTTTGACTACCCCTATAAAGAATAAGGGGTAGAACTGAAGAATCTTTAGACTCCCATTTAACACAACTCAACAACACATGCAATATTTATTATTGATCAGTTTTGTCTTTTTGACTAACGTATATGCAGTGCACAAATCTATTACTGTAGAAGCGTCCTGTAGAAAACACTCATTTAAAAGAGCGATCTGTGAGGGGTGAACTCGTAAATCCTGAGCTCTATATATGCTCATCAGGATAGGAGATTGTCATATCGCCCAGCCCTAATTACAAACACTCAACGAGACCTCATTGGCCCAAATCCGTTAGTGAACCCGGCTCTTCCTCTGCCTCTCATGGGGCCCGGCGGTCTGAAGCCTTTCATCATCATCATCATCCCTCGTCCTCCTCGCATCCCGCGAACCATACGACCTCCTCGGGCACGCATCTTCATCCCACGACCCCTGAAAACACACAGACACACATCTCACTGAAGCTTCAGCGTCACACACATCACCACTACAGCAAGCTGCTCTGAATGAAAGCATCTGCTAAACGACTAAAGGTAAAACACACAAACGATAATAAAACAATATTCCAATATTGCACACATCATTCATAAATAGCGCCTGTTTTGCATTACAGGTGTTTAAAGTGAACAAACTAGCATTAATAGTGCGGGAAGCATCAGACGCTCTTTAATGGAGCATTTCAATGCATTATTCCCTAATGTGAGGACAAATACAGTTCAGAGATCTTAATTCAGACAAGTCTGAGATGGTATCAAATTAAAAACACTTGCTCATTGTGTATGCATTGCCTTTTGCAACCCTGTGGAAATTGATCGGCCTCCAATACAAGGAGAAGAAAACGGAGTCTCTTACATAAACTGTGGCTTGGAGGAAAGATTCTACTTTACATTTGGGGTGAATTGGATACCGTTTGAACAAAAATAAAAAACTTAAAAAAAATTCTGGCATCCCTTTTATCAGTTATCTTGACAAAACCCCCATGGACTAATGCACTATTTTCTATGTAATTTTAATACTCTCTTTCATCAGTTTAAACAGGTCTGTGTAGTCTTGAGCAGGGGTTCTCAACTGGTTTGGCTGTAAGACCCACATTTTTACATGGTCATCAAGCTGCAACTCAATTTTTTAGGAACTATAATACACTTTTAGTAATGTAATGCAATGTATTTTTTATTTAATGCCATGTCAGCAACCAAGGCTATTTTCATGGCAGGAATTTTTCAACAATAAATATACAATTTAAAAATCAACAAACAAAATAAAACAAATTAAATAAGATTTTTTGTGTTAATACATGATTAAAATTTTAAAATCTTTTCTGGTTTCACTTTGTTAAAAATGTCCTTAAAAGAGTTCATTCATAAAAAAGTCTTGAGTTTTGCAGCACAAACACTGAGTTGGGTTTTCATCTTGGAGCAAAAAGCCATGTGTTATTCTCGTATGCCCAATTCGACGTCTGATAAAAACTACTCGATCAAATCGATTGTTCAAATGTCTTGAAATTCTGTGTGAAACTTCAGGTTGGATTTCATGTAGTTTATTGTTTTCTAATGCATCCCATTCATTTTGCCACTTGTTTAAAATGTAAGCGCTGATAAAAGGTTTCATCTGTGACGGAGGGATTTGGCATTTGTTCACTATTTGCTTCTAAGCATCTTTAGCAGCTGCATCAGCTCGCTCATTGCCTGAAAGTCCGACATGTCCTGGAACCCAGCAGAAAATGATGTGATAAAATTGATTTTGTAGTTGGTGAACTTTAGTTCAAATATTATCATCAATCAAAAGATTAATACAATTTTAGGAATTATTATTAATTTGTATTTATTTGTTGACATAACCAAGTAGTGACTGATAAATCGTAAGAAATTCACCAAGACTTACAAATAAACTATATTTACTGCTGTCATTTACCAAAATGCATCAAATTATAGAAATATTACAAAGTAAAAACGACAAATACTGTAAACAGTGGTTAGGGTAAGGAAAGGTTCAGTTACCATGAACTAAACTGAGCTGTTAATAAATCTATTTGTCTGGTTTCTACATGTCGTTTTAATTTAGGTTTTGTTACTACATACGACACCGAGGCTTTAAGTCTTTTTTGTCGTCAATATATGTAAACCCATACTTTACATATTCGGGGTCATACTTGCGCTTAGACATATTTGTTGCTATAATTAAATGTAATTGCACATGTCAAATGGTAGTGTTGTTGTGCACGCATTTCAAAATAAAAGTCCGCTATCAGCAAAATAAAACTAAAATTAAACTTTAGTTGTTTTATTGATCACACACTCCACGACCCGCTGAAAATGTTCCCACGACCCGACCCACCAGTTGAGAAACACTGGTCTTGAGGGATGGCTTGTAATCTGGGTGGGTTTATTTTTATTTATTTGCATATGTAATATGTGGACAAAGCATGTAAAAATGGCAAATCTTTTCAATAGACTTATTTGACCAAATAAATAGTAAAAATCCATATCAGTGCATTCTTAGATAGTATCATCATTTTATTCAGCTCAGTGTTTATTTTGGCTTAATAAAATAGTATTAATAATTAAATTTAGCAATAAAAGAGCTCTAAAGAAGATGAGTGTCGTCACCCAATCAACCACAGCAATAGTTTTAGTCGTGTGACGATAATCGTTTTCAGGGTATACCATGATTTGGAAAAGTCAAGGTTTTAAAACCGCCAAAATGTTCTGTTATACCATTTCTAAGGTATGTATGTGTAAGATCTTTATATTTATATATATATATATATATATATATTTTTTTAGGACAACAGTATTTCCAGCAGAAAAAATATCTAAAGATGCCGTTTTAAATTGTAGAGAAATCTGTGTTTTGGACACTACTGAAGACAGCAGAAGTCATGGGCTGCGTCCGCAACCACCTACTACTCAGTAGGTACTGCATTTCAATGTAAACGTACTACTCAGCCGTTAAAAAAGTCTGTTCAATACAGTATGAATGTGAAAAGTATGAATGGAATTGGGACGTACTACATCCACCATTTTGTCATGGTCACGTGACGTCCCTGCGTCAGTTGCGTTGCTTCATTTCCATTCATGAATTCAATTGCGGGGCATTATGGGATAGTGCAGTGTGCATGGGATGTGCACTTCTGAATCTCGCTGGTAGTAGTAAGTCATCCGGGTACTTCTCACATACTAATTTTGACATACTACTCGGCTCGCATACTGATTTTAGCCTACTATATAGTATGGAAGTATGCGTTTTCGGACGCAGATTTGAAATATTCAGCCTGACATGTTTACTGCTCCAAAATATTATAAATGTCTCTCAAAATGAAATATATTGTGCTCAAAAGGTGAAAAGAACTTATTCTAGAGCAGTCATCACAATACTGTTAAACAGTGATATTTTTATCCAAGGTTATCAGAATCTTACACCAGCCCATGCCTAGTGACCTACCTGAACTTGTTTTCAGATCCTTCCACCTGTGAGGGTTTTTCTGTGGTCTCAGTCACTGCTGTCGTCTCCTTCGCCTGCTCCATTTCAGTATCCATCTGCAAAACATCAGCATTATCAGTAAAATAAACACTTCTGATCTCCTCAAACCTTCACCTTCAACCTGAAATCTACTGTGGAAACGTTCGAGTGTCAAACGTCAGACGATTTTCCTTTGGCCTCTTGCTGAAAGAAGCGGCTAAAGCTTAACATGCCACCAACACCACCTCCATCATCAACCGGCCTGCTGGGATATAAGCAGCTGATCTGGGCCATGAGGATTTCAGAGCACGCAGACAAGCCGTGTATTAATAGTGTGAACGCATACTGACTGAGCCAAGTGATAAACGTAGAAGTGCTTCTCTATGAAGCTGAAGAGGAATCTGAAATGTGGAGAACAGAAGCCTGATGCATGCGAGAACACAGTAAAATGTGAGATTACTGAGAAAGAGATGCCCATGTGACCAGTTCACAGCTTGCTATAGGCCTCATTACCTTTGCATTAAAACAGGAGGTTGTGTCTTATATTTCAATGTATTTATAAACAACCAGTGTGATATATTTTACTCAGAAGAGGGAGGGGCTTTTTATATCAGAGATTATTTGATTGGATAAAAAAGAAATGCATACACCCCTGAGTGCATGATGATATCATCAACACCTCTAGTCATTTTCATTTAAAAAATGCATACTATAATCTGTGTAATTGTATTATAATACAGATTTCAGTACATTTTTGTGTATTATTAGGGATTTAAATTCTTGATAGATTAGCGATCTGCTAAATGCATTTGCTCGATGATTTTATGTAAAAATGTGATCATAAATCATAATAGTTTAGTTAGTTTAATGATACACAAGCTCTTAATTGGTTTTATTCAGCGATTTGGAGATTAATGGAGGCTTAAACCCCGTTCTGTCGCCATATCCAAAGCTAAACGAAATAACCAACACAATTCCTCACGCCTTGGTACAATTGTACAGAAATAAACCCTGAAACGTCAAACAAACGGAAATTTATCGTCTTAATGTTGAACGTTTAACGCGTGCAGGGGTTAATCAATAGAAATGGTGAAGGCGAGCGTGGGATTTAACGGCTCACCCTCATTCAACACAAACGAATCTATTTCGAGCTCACAGCGTAACTATGGTCGCTTACCTTATGAGATTGGGGTCTCCTCTAAACGACGAGGCTTAAAAATGCAAGTCTTGTGCGTTATAATCTATAAAACAAGCATCCGTGCGTCAAACCGTGAAAGCTCGCGCGTTTCTTCGGCTTTGAAATGGCGGCCCGCGCCTCACCGTCACACCGAGCGCGGCTTCCCTTTGTCAGAGCGTCATTGTACGCCTAGGCCCCACCCAAAATGAACACGAGCAGCTGTGATTGGTCAACTCTCCTGTCGCAAGAAATACGTCACGGTGGCTACTATAAACCGGTTTTATTGCAAAGTACGTCATACACATTTTACCGTGTTCCTGTTTGTGTTAGCTTTATTGTATTATTTAATATGAATTGGAATGAATAAATAATTTATTGTCACCTGAAATCTTTAATCTTAGTCACTAAATCCTTGTTTTTGATATTTTAATAACTACAAAACACAAATAAGCACAAATCAGACAATTGCTTATTGATTATTCTTTAGTTCTGTTGCTTTTTAATTGTTTATTGCAGGCTTTTAAGTAATTTGATTATTTTCCTTGCACACTTGTTTAAAATTAGAAATATTTACCAGAACATTTATCATTAAATTTCAGTTTTCAGGTAAAATAATATTAGAACTGTAGAATTAGGATGATAGTTCAGATGGTTCATCACTGATTATCTCACAAAAGTCATAAAATACACAGATGAGCATATTAGATTTACCTATAAATAGTGAAAAGCAAAAGTCTGTATGAATAAAAACATATGGTCAGAAAACTCTATAGATCACAAGCCTCATAAAATAGACCAGAGATGAGTTAGCACCAACACAAACAACATGTTTATTCAACTTTTCCAGTATTCAAGTTAACACTCTTAATATTAGACACCGACACTCCACTCAAGCATCAGCAAGAAATATTTACATCCAAAATAAACACATCAGAGTGGATAAACAAACAAACAAACAAACAAACAACATGTAAATCTGTACAACAGCAGCCGAAAATCATGAAATGTTCGCATAACATTTTCACAAATATATGATGAGCAAACGTTCCTCCACTAACACTCAAAGATGTAATAATGCTCTCGAATATTTGTGAAAATTCTTTGGGAGCAGTTTAGTAGAATGTTCAAAAACATTTCAAACGTAACACTCCCAGGATGCTTGCAGAACATTGTCACAACTTAGATAAACTACCTGGAAAGTAATTTTAAAAAGAGAAAATTCATAAATAACATTGTACGTTTTTTTTTTTTTTGGAATTTTCTTTAATTGAACGTTTATGTTTAAATGTTTTTTAAACGTTCAGAAAACATTTGGAAAAGTAACATTTCCAGGATGTTTGTAGAATATCTTCATAGAAAAACTTCCCGAATCCTATTTTTTTTAAGTGAACATTCAGAAATAACATTCGTCAAATAACAATGTCTGTATGTTTTTGTTTTTTTGAGGAACATAGTTAAATGTCGAAAGTTCATGTTTGAGTGTTTTTGAAGCGTTCATAAAACATTTGAAATGAACATTCCCGTGATATTTGCAGAACATCTTCATAACTTAGAAAACCTTCCTAACATAAAAAGCGAACATTGAAAAATATCGTTGTCTGTACGTTTTTTGAGAAACATTTTCTTACAGTCGAAATGTCAAATGCCAATGTTCAAATGTTTGTTTGTTTTTTGACATCTTCACAACTTTTTAAAACTTCCTGAAACATTTTAAAAAGCAAACATTGGAAAATGACATTCGTGAAACATAATCAAATATGAAAGTCGAGAAATATAATCGAATAAGAAAGTCGATTTTCTAGTCGAAATGTCGAATGTCCATGTTCGAAAGTTTTTCTTCTTCAGAGCATCTTTACAACTTGGAAAACTTCCTCAAACATCTTTAAAAAGCGAACATTAAAAATAGTGTTCGTAAAATAAAGTTCGTTGTCTGTAGGTTTTTTGCGCATAAGTCGAAATGTCGAATGCCCATGTTCGAATGTTTCAATCTTTGTTTTGACATCTTCGAAAAGCTTCCTGAAACATTTTTTCAAAAAGGAACATTCGAAAATGACGTTCTCGAAACAACGTTGTCTAAACGTTCCTAAAGCGTTGTGGGAAGGTTTCCCGCGGGTCTCACTGCTGCTCGAGGATGCCGGATAACTCTTTGATGTACTGGATGGTGTATTTGAGCGTCTGGATCTTGGTGAGCGGCTGTCCTCTCCTGCTGTACCCCGGCGGAAGGTAATCCCGTAGCTGATGCAGCGCCTCCGCCAGACTCCTCATGCGGAGCTTCTCCCGCTCGCTGGCCTTCATCCTCCTCCTCATACTCATCTTCACTTTCGGCTTCTGCTGCTCCGCATGCTCGCACCCTGCTGTGGGGCTGGAGCGCGCGTCGGGCGACGAGCAGGCAGAATCGAAGGACTCGGACTCCGGCGAGGACGCGCTGTCTCCAAATGACCTGTCCTCACGGCTCCAGTCCCAATGGGACAAAACCTTGGCTGTGAACACATCCACGTCGATTTGCGCCATGTCCGGACGGTTAGAGAAATGTGCAGGTGCGGCGGGGCTGCGCTTTTATACCGCAAAACTTTACGAGCGCGGAGTTCAAAGGCGCGCAGGGCGGACGCGCGCTTGACACCCGTGCGCGAATAAGGTGATGTTGGCGGATAATGTGAAGGAGAAAAGAAAATAATTAGATTCCCTTTTGTGGGAAATGACCCTTTAACAGGACTCGACGACAATTAGCGCACTGATGCGATCAGACGAGCTTCACACGTGCGCGTGTCCGAGCGGCTAATTAACATTGACCAGTTAAAGCGCAGGAAACACTTACAAACATTCAAAAATAAAGTGCTTGAAACTCTTTTTCTTTTTCAAATATTTCCCAAATGATGTTTAACAGAGCAAGGAAATGTTCACAGTATGTCTGATAATATTTTTTCTTCTGTAGAAAGTCTTATTTGTTTTATTTTGGCTGGAATAAAAGCAGTTTTTAATTTTTTAGGACAATATTATTAAACCCCTTTAAGTTATATATTTTTTCGATATTCTACAGAACAAACCATCATTATACAATGACTTGATTACCCTAACCTGCCTAGTTAACCTAATTAACCTAGTAAAGCCTTTAAATGTCACTTTAAGCTGAATACAAGTGTCTTGAAGAATATCTAGTATATCTAATATCTATCAAATATTATTAACAGTCATCATGACAAAGATAAAATAAATTAGTCATTAGAGATGAGTTATTAAAACTATTATATTTAAAAATGTGTTGAAAAAAATCTGCTCTCCGTTAAACAGAAATTGGGGGGAAAAAATTGGGGGCTAATAATTATATATATATATATATATATATATATATATATATATATATATATATATATATATATATATATATACGGATATACTGTTTATTAGCCTCTGTAGTCTATACAACGAATTAGAAAACACTTTTACACAAATATTCCAAAATAAAAGGTTCAAAACTCTTTTTTAAAGCCTAATCATAATGTTGTGATCTCGATTATTTTATTTTTCATATCTGTGAAATGATGTAATGGATGGTAAATTTGAAAATAAAATAAATTTCTCTGGATTTTTTGTTTATTTTGTGGGTTTGAGTAAAATAATAGAATTAATTAGGAAACTCTTTTACACATTAATTCAAAACGGCTGAAGACTTTTCATGATAAAGTCTTACAAAGCCTAATAATAATACTGTGAACTCAACTATCACTATTTAAGGATCAGTATGAACCCCAAATCTAAATGTATTAGAATAAAACAATTATTTAAATTATATAATTAATTATCATCTGAAATCTTAATACTCACCATCCTTCAAATCAGGTTTGACAAACGCTAAAAGGCTTTTAACACTCTTGTATGTAGTCTAATAATGCCATGACCTTGATTATTGTATTTAGATATAGATATATAATAATTATATTATAATATGTGGATATTTGTGAAATGAAAAAAAAACATCTTCAATGATTTACTGTATATTATGTGCGAGTTTGAGTAAAACTGTAGTATTTGTTTTATTAATTTAAGATCTCCTTTCAAGTAAAAAGTATTTTAATTTAATTTCTTTTTAAGTATTTAAATTTTAATTTCTTAAATTTGAAAACAACTAATTATTCTCTATTCAAACATAACTACACATGTTAAATTATATATATATATATATATATATATATATATATATATATATATATATATATATATATATGTGTGTGTGTGTGTGTGTGTGTGTGTGTGTGTGTGTGTGTGTGTGTGTGGAATAATATAATTATTGTTATGTACAAGTTTAAGTTTAGCTTAAAACTATTCCAGTGATTTCTCAAAATTATAATGTTAAGTGATAACTGCTGTCTGGCTGTGTGTGTGTGTGTGTGTGTGTGTGTGTGTGTGTGTGTGTGTGTGTGTGTGTGTGTGTGCTGATGTGCTGCAGCTGTCAGATCTCTGATGTCTGGAAAGGTGTGACACCTGTCACTCATGATCAAGGATAAGAGGAAGTGGAGGTGTTTACGTCCTTATTAGGAGCAGAATGTGACTTCTGTCCTCCTGACAACTTCCTTCAGCCCAATCCTTCACTGCAAACTCATACGACTATCTACAACACAAATCATTAAATAAAGACTCTCTTCCATGATTATATTATTATATGTTTGCTCAGTCAAAATTATAAGAGTGTAAATAGAAAAATAAGTTACATATTTTTTGTAAAAGTTGGAAGATTGCTATTGAATACACTCTTTAATTACAATAATCTGCCATGATTATAATGCTATTTTATTGAATGTTTGCTCCTAAATTAAGTGGCAAAAAATATGAGGTTAACTCTCATCTGAAATCTTCATACTTACCATCCTTAAAACTGAGATTTATTCATCATTTATAATCAAAACTAAAAGGCTTAAATCTCTTTTATATAGCCTAATATTAATATTAGACCTCGCTTTTTGTATTTTCCATATCAGTGAAATGATGTGATGGGAATATCCCAAAGAATTGAGAAAATTTAAATGGGGAAAATATGAGATTTAACTGGACATAAATTAAAAGAGTGTGAATGCAAAAATAAAAAGATGATTATTATTATAATAGTAAACACACTGCATATAGCGAATAATTTAATTAGGAAGATCTGCTATAATTTTATTATTGCATATTAGCATCTAATATTAAAAAAAGAAAACTAAAAATGGCAAAAATATATCATTTTTCAGTTTAAATTAAAAGTTTAAATGTATTTAAAACATTATTTACATTCAAGAAATTACAGTAAGATTATAAACGACTAATAAAAAGTATTTAAGAACATTACATTAATTTTTTAGTAAATTTATTAATTTTCCTTCAGCTTATTGCCTTATTCATCACAGCGGAATGAACCGTCAACTATTCCAGCATAAGTTTTACGCAGCGGATGCCCTTCCAGCTGCAACCCAGTACTGGGAAACACCCATACACACTCATTCGCGCGCGCACACACACACACACACACACACACACACACACACTGCTCAGCAGGACACAAACCAACAGATCGCTTCATTCTCAGTTTAGAGGTACATTTATAGTGCTTTCAGTTTAAGTTTTGATTAGATTTGCTTATTTAATTTAAGTGTAATGCTCGATTCTGATTGGCTGATGGTCACCTTAAAGAGCCCATATTATGAGTTTTTGAAAATTCCCCTCCATGTAGTGTGTAACACAGCTCTAAGTGAAGTGAGGCCACAGTGCTAACCATTGAGCCACCGTGTCACCCTATTATGTATTATTTGTAATCATTGTTATTATTAAGCTCTTGTACCTGGCGAAGAGTAAATAATTCTGATGTATAATAATAATACACTAATATCTGTACAGATCATTTGAATTCAAGTGTTTTCCTCCAGTCAAAAAGCAATAAATCTAATGTTTTTTGAGATTAAAATTACAATTTGAGATGATTCACACACAAAAATAACATAAAATTACATTTATTATCAAATTATCAATTTCCGAACATTATTTTCACAAACAAAGCCGCAAACATCAGACTTCTGCATCATTACTCACTTTGCGAATCTCATCTTGAGTCTCTCGGCCAGAGGTCTGGGACTGTCCACTGACGCATCCGAGTCTTCGCTCTCCACCTTCCCATGATGCACCTGTATGAGCGTCTTTTTCTCAGGTGTTTCAGCAGCTCTGAGTTCTGCTCTCTGAGGCCTGAGGGCATGTGTGAGGCTGGTTTTGAGTGGTTTTGGAGGTCTGGACATGGCTTTGACTTTGTGTGTCTTGGGCCGGTTCTCGGTGTCGCTGTCGCTGAACTCGATGCTGGTTTTAGCACTGGGTTTTGCAGTTGTTGTGGTTTTAGCGCGTGCTTTCTGATGGTGTTTGTGCTGCTGAGCGTTTGCCGGTGCTGATGGGATTGAACTACAGCCGTCAGGATCTTTGGTCTGTTTTCTAATAATCATCTGCTCCTTTAGGGAACATTTAGAGCGATGGGCAGGTCTCAGATCAGTTTCGTTGCCTGTGACCACTATCTGCTTATTCAGAGAACATGTTGAGCTTTCTGCTGGTCTCAGATCAGTTTTGTTGTCTGCTCTACAGTCAAGGGTTTTGGTCTGTTTTCTCATGTTCATCTGCTCTTTCAGTGAGCAGACAGAGTGTTGGACAGGCCTCAGATCAGTTTTGTCTTCTGCTCTACCTTTGGGGTGTTTCATCTGTTTTGTAATGATTATCTGCTGTTTCAGAGAACATGTTAAGCTTTCTGCAGGTCTCAGATCAGTTTTATTGTCTGCTTTATATTCAGGATTTTTCGTCTGCTGTTTTTTCATGATGATCTGCTCTTTCAGTGAACACAGAGAGTGCTGGGCAGGTCTCAGATCAGTTTTACCATCTGTTTTACGGTCAAAATCGTTCATGATGGTCTGCTCTTTTGAAGAACTGACATTTTTTTCAGCAGGTCTCAGATCAGCTTTGTCGTCTACTCTACTTCCCGGATGTTTCGTTTGCTGTTTTTTCATGATCATCTGCTCCTTCAGAGAGCACAGGGAGTGTTGGGCAGGTCTCAGATCAGTTTTATCATCTGCTATACCATCAGAATCTTTACTTCGCTGTTTTTGCGCAACGATTCGCTCTTTTAGTGAACAGATGTTGTTTTCAGCAGGTCTCAGATCAGTTTTACCATCTGCTATACCATCAGAATCTTTCGCTTGCTGTTTGTTTGTGATTATCCTCTCTTTTAGTGAACAGTTGTCATTTTCTGCAGGTCTCAGGTCAGTTTCGTGTGTGTTTTGTGACGGAGAGGCTGTGAACGATGCAGAGTCCCAGTCAATGCTGCTGAGGTGCAGCTGGCCAATCAGAGCAGACACTGAATGGGAATTCCCGGAAGGTGGAGTCTGCACTTGGATCCCCGGGTACGGAGGGAGATCGGGTTGTGGTGGATTCTGGGCAGATGAAACCACCTGTGGATCTGTGTTCAGGGTCATCTGAGAGAAGAGATCCGACACGGCATCATGGGAATCAGCCAGCGTCTCTTTCTTCACTTTCGGCTTCTTTTCTGCACACATTAGCACACAGCATTAGTTCGGTCGGTCTGTATTTAAATACATTTGCTGAGTTTTCCCCTTTTTGCAATGGAAACTTTTTATGATCCAAAAAAAGTACACTAATGTGTAAAATGAGCAGCTTTCTGTATTTTGTAATTCATGTTTTTAATTTCTCCTGTTTATTTCTGCTTTTGAATTGCATTATGGCATCTTGATCTTTCCTCCAGCAACTTTTAACATGTAAAAGTGTGTAAAATGGACTTTTCTGCACATGTGTAAGAGTGTGCAGTGCTGTATTGTCAGTGTTTATTATGCAACAGAAACCTTGTAATGAACTGCAGCACATTTTCTGTTATTTTACACACTTATTCCTCCAGATATTAATATTTTATATGATTTCAAACCACTAAAATGTCAATAAAAGTCACTCTGTTAAACTGAAGTGTTGAATTTCCAACATATGAAGTGTACAGAGCAGAGATCAGCATCCCACAATGCAATTCACCACTGCAAACACACACAAAACTGTTCATTAACAGATATTTTTTAGTGTAGTAACAACATTTTCTACTATGATTTCTATTATTAAGCACTTCACAACATGACACCTTCCTACATTGTTTATCAAAATATAATCTAAACCGTTTGCTATGCTCTTCTAGCGCTGGGCTTTTACAATTCTACTCTGTAAAGCTGATGTGATCTGGCGGCACTTCTTTTAGCCATTATGCTCCAAACATTTGGAACTGTCTCCCTCTTCAAGTGAAAGAATCAGGTTAGTGTTCATGTTTAAGACGCATCTTTTTAAAACTGTGTATGATTACACAAGCTTTTAAAGTGTATGCATTTTATCTATATTGTTGTAGGATTGTGTGTGCATGTGTGGTGTGTGCTTGCATATGTAAGGACTGTTGTGTGCGTGATCATGTGGATATTTGCTTATATTTTGTGTACATGAATGCTTTTATCAGAGTATTTGTGGCAAGTTTATGTGGTCTATTTTAATGCTTCTTTGTTGATGTTTGTGAGGCACTTTGAGTTGCATGTATGTTGGAAAAGTGCTATACAAATAAAATGTATTATGATTATTATATTATTATCAAATCTCAGCTAATATAACCCTGGTATTGCTGACTTTAAATAAAAACCTTTTCACAGCAAGTCTTTGCGACTTTAGTTTTACCTCAAAATTAATTCAACAAATCCTATATTTATGTTTACTGTTTTTTAAATCTGAAATCATAACATTAGCATAACATTTCTCTGTCGTTTATAGTCAAACTTATTTATGCTTGCTAAATAGAAGCATCAATTTCTGTAAAAACAGGCCCATTCTTTCAAGGTTCAAGCCCAAACCTTCAGTGCATTTAGTTAGATTTAAAGTGAAATGTTTACTTTTTAACATTTACTGACATGTCAAGTGCATTAGTATGTAATAACTAGGCCCACACAGAATCTGCGCGCATAGAAAGCCACAGATGTTTAACCCATCATCGAGTCTATTTAATTGTAAATGTGTGTACATTTATATTTATTCAGCTTTTAAAGTTAAATCCAGTGATAATACTGACTAAAGTGGAAATATTCGTATGATTAATTCACAATGCAGCTTGTAAAGAACTATATTCTGTCTTTCAGTAGAGATATTATATGAGAGACGTGGTTTGTTTATTAATTAAGTGGATCTAATGAGATTTGCATTGTAAACATTCAAGAAAAGGTATAAAGATATTATTTTTTTAATTGAATATATTAAGTTTTTTAGTGAAGATGCTCCCAAATTAATTCCGCAGAAATCCACAGATTTGTAACTAAATTCTGCGCAGAAATACCTAAATATGTCTGTAGATTTTGCCGGGGCCTGGTCATAACACTGCATCACTAACTCAATAACCTTTGCAGATTTTACATTCGGGAAATAGGTTACACAAATATTAGCCGCTTCTGTTTTTAATATCAGAGCGGTGCCAGTTTTAGTAGTCCTTCATTCATTCATGCATTCATTTTCTTGTCGGCTGAGTCCATTTATTAATCCGGCATCGCCACAGTGGAATGAACCGATAACTTATCCAGCACATTTTCACGCAGCGGATGCCCTTCCAGCCGCAACCCATCTCTGGGAAAGTTTTACTGGTCTTTAATTAATATTTTTAATGATTATTTTCTAAAATGTGTTTTGGTGATTTTATTTTGACTTCATTTTTTGGAGATGTGCTATTTTAATATTTCGTTTTTATTTCAATTGTTATTTTCATTATTGTGTGAATACTTATGGCAACCATCGTAATTGTTTTTTTTTTGTTTAGTTTTGTTTATATTTTGTATAGTGTTTGTCAGAGTTCTGCGCAGAGTGCGAGACTGACAGCGGTGTGTGTGTGTGTGTGTGTGTGTGTGTGTGTTCGACACCTGGCGGATCTGGAAGCGTCTGTGATCGGGAGTGTGAGACGAGTGTCAGGAGTAGCACTGCACTCTTTGATCCTCGTTCTTCAACACAGGACACACACCAGAGATGCTGATGCTTCACACACACACACATTCACGCACAAACACACACTTATACATACACACAATGATAGACACAGACATGCAAACACTCATATTTCACAGTGATATTCGCAGACACAAACACACATGCTCACTGATACACACACACACAGACAGACAAATGACACACTCATTTACTCAGTCAGTCACTGCTGAACACACACACACTGAGTGATATACACACAGACACACACACATGCTCACTAATACACACACATACACACACACAGTGTTCAGTGCTGCACCCACTCTTGGTTTTCTTCTCCTGAGCCTGGTTTCTCTCCCGCTGGAACTCCTGCAGGATCTTTGGAAACGCCAAACTGAAGAGTGCCTCTTCCTCCACCGTCCGCACCTCCGCCTGCTCCTCACAGCCCTCCACAAACACATAATGCTCTGACACACACACACACACACACACACACACACACACACACACACACACACACACACACACACACACACAGAGTTATGTTAGCATTATTATACTAAAGAGCTGTAGAATGCTCGATTCTGATTGGCTGATGGTCATTCTCAGGTGTTTGATTATAGTCAGATAATCAGATATAAAGTAGTTCCGGCAGGTTTAGTTTTGAGCACATTACAGCTCTATATCACTCCGCTGAATGATTAGAGTTATTTCAAAAGTTAAGATGCACATGAGTTTAAAGATCTGACAGATTTAGAAGCTCTAGAGGTGTGTGTGTGTTTGTGTGCTGGTTTCTGTCGGCAATGTGTTTCAGGTGTGTGTGTGTGTGTTTACAGCGCGGCGAGGCGTCGAGAGGAAGCTCTTTTAGCGCCTGCTGGTGATACATTTGTTCCGTCACCTGTGAGACTCACAAGCAGACACTAACAAGCCCAGCGGACACGGACACACACACACACACACACTCACATAGACTGACACACACTCGCACAAACTCACTCACATCATCATTCACTCTCACACACAGACACACTCACTCACATCCTCATACACACACACAGACACACCTGGAGTTTTCCAGATCACCTCTAAGCAGGAGACGCCGTTCCTGACACGCGCCTTATATATTCTGTTGAAGAGACACACAGATATTAAAGGCACGGATCACCCAAAACTATATATATATATATTAGTATATTAGTGAACATTATATCAGTGTAATATGAGTGTATTATGAGTGTATGTCCACCTGATGGGCTGCATGTGTGTGTGTGAGTCTCTGCCGAGTCTGCGGTTCACCATCTCAGTGTAGGTCATGAGCGTCAGCAGCTTCTCACTGCTGTAGTGTTTAGGCCAATCCATCTTCTCCAGAGCAAACTCCTGAACACACACACACACACACACACACACACAAATAAATACACAAACAAACACACACACACACACACACACACACACACACAACATGTATATCATACAGGCACACAGATAAACCCGACACACACATAAACACACACACACACACACTCTCTCTCTCTCATACCGACACAAACATAAAACACACACATAAACAAAGACACACACACATATATGAACACACACACACACACACACACACATACAGACGCAAACATAAAACACACACATAAACAAAGACACACACACACACATATAAACACACACACACACACACACACACACACTCATACACACTCATACAGACACAAACATAAAACACACACATAAACAAAGACACACACACACATATAAACACACACACACACACACACTCATACACACTCATACAGACACAAACATAAAACACACACATAAACAAAAGACA